ACATCAGGCACATATTTATAACATTAGGTGTGATGATTCATAAATGCTCTATGTTCTCTTAGCATTAGGAGCCAAATAGGTCTCATTGAGCATGGCCTTAACTATGTTGGCACAAAAGTTGTAAAGAGGTTTCTAACCTCTACAATAGGCACAAAAAATGTCTCATTTGATATGTTAAAGTCTGAATTAGGTTTGGCGTTCTTCATATTAATTGTATCCTTGCATGTTAGATTTTCAATGGCATTAGAATCATCCAAAAATGAGGTCTAGAATTCAAGTTATGATCAAATTAGTGAGTAAAGGTCAAATTATCATATTTAGATTGAAATGTTGTATTTTTGTAATTTTAAAAAAATAGTAGATGATAAATCAATTCATGAGGTAAATATAGAAGTTGTATATATTTGTCTTATATTTCCAATAAAATTGAGATCAACTTGATATCATAAGTATAACTAAAAATATCATGTTTAGACATCACATTGTCGTAAAAGCTTAAAATAAGAAGAGATTGTTTGTGAGTTGTAATGATAAATTATTTTATCCTTTAAGTAACTAATTTTAGGGATGATTTGAGAAACTTATATCAATGGTTAAGAAAGAGAAAGTATGAGAGGAGATATTTGTAAATGAGTTATGAGTGGGTTTGTGATATATGAAATTATGTTTGTAAGACATTATGCTTAAGACTTTGTCCTTGTATAAATATGAGATGTTTTTACATGTGAATGATATGAAATGTTTATGCGTGGTATGAGAATCTTGCATTTTCTTTATTGTTGGATTGTGATGATCATATTATTATGGGAGGGAAGGATTAGGCCGAAGGGTGAGCTGGACAACTTAGGGTTTATGTTTACTATTTTGAATTATTGTAGATATGTATGTGTAAAAGATTTTGTTGTAGCCACTCTAAGGGACCTTTATGTTTTCAAGAACTATTTGTATGGTAATCTTAGGTAACCAGATTTATGTTTTTTATTCTTTAGATGCTAAGTTGTAAAGTGTATTGACCTATTGGGTCATTACAATCCCGATGCAATAATTAAAATGAATTTATTATACTATATAATTGGGATAGATGTAAAAAAAAATAATCAAACTAAAGTGGTATGTGAGTAGGGATGACAAAATTGGCTTGGCCTGCCCAACCCATTTAGGCCCACCATGTTGTCAACTTGCACTACTACAAGATCTATCATCTACATCGGTTCAAATAGGTAATCTACATCGGTTCAAAAACCGATGTAGAATTGGGAGATGTAGAAACACATTTTCTTCTACATCGGTTTTCAAAACCGATGTAGATTTGTGCAAAATCACAATCGGTTGTCAGAAAAACCGATGTAGATTTGTGTACAAATCTATATCGGTTATAAGCAAAACCGATGTAGATTTTGCACACCAATCTACATCGGTTTCCAGTATAACTGATGTAGATTTGTAACCGATGTATATTGTAGTTTAAAAAAAAAATTATTTATTTTTTATTTTTTCTGGTTACCGTAAATTAGTCTCCACTTATTTACGAAACTGCCACCGCGTTTTTACAACGCCGGTGTTTAGTGTTTGCGACGTAAATTGGGTGACGTAAATACCCTTTTTTGCACTAGTGTATAAGCCTGGAGAGGCTTGTCAAAGGATCCTCACTAAGAGCCTGAAGAGGCTGAACAAAGAATACTAGCGCCAATGAGTGAAATTAGCGGGCTAGGAGTGGTCGATAATCCTCACTAAGAGCCTGAAGAGGCTGAACAAAGAATACTAG